TCAAATTGGGTGTATAAGGGCAATTTTACTGTGAAACAAGTGTTGCAGAAAAGTGTTTTTTTTAAAAAAAAAAAAAAAAAAACACACAAATGCACTCCGCTTCAGAAAGATTTACAAAGACATACCTGTCAGTTTACGGCCCTGACATCGGCTTCGAGAAGGTCACACGTGAGAAATGTCAACATGTCTGGTCGCAGGATAGTTTTGGTTTTCGCAAATGGTGATTTGATTAAGTGGAGTGTACTCCTGTGAGGTTTTATTAGCAAAAAAAAAAAAAACTGGGTAGAAAAAGCATTACATAACAGACAAGAAGCCGAAACAACATGTTTGCCCAAGGCTGTTAAGGTAATAACAAGTCTAAATTCATGTCAACACTACAGTCCAACATTCATTGTCCAGCTACAGTGATGAGTACATGTTATTATGAAATCCACCTTTCATCACCAGCTGACTGGTTCTTATCTATTATGATGATAATTGTTGAGAGAATTACATACAGCTGGTACATGTCATTAGGAGGCAAAAAAAAAGAGGTGGGGGTTAGAGACCCGTGGGCTTCTGCCTGTTTTTAAGTGTTGGTAATAAAAGTAAGTCGCCACCTCCTTGAGACGTTCTGTCCAATGGGAGCCCATTGAGCACACTTTTATGTGTCCCCAGAAAAATGCTTGAGCATCCCCTGTGCTGCTTCCCTTCAGTCAGTCCTCAAGATGCGCAGGTAGGGCTGACTTCAGGGAGGGAAGTTCACGTCTGTAGTCCCCTCTGCTGCTGCATCTCACCGCTGCATCTCGTCGTTCTGCCCTTTGCCCCGTCTCTGCTGTCACTGGGGAGGATTGAAACATGGCCTTCCACTGCTCTGCAGTCGTCAGGTAAATATCTGTGTGTGTAGGTTTTGACAGTGTTTGATACCAGCAACGTTCAGCCGGTTGTTCACTTCGCTTATCTTCATTTTCAGCTGATAATGGATGCTACAGGATCTTTAAATTATTAGCATCAATCCAAGATGATTTAGACAAACGTGTGAACCTACAAAGATGGGACATTTATACATTTAAGGAAAAATATTAAATAAATAATTCTGATATTTATGAATTCTAAAAATCCACAGAGGGAATTCCCTCACTGCAGTCGCTACACCTTGGTGAAGAGGTTTCGGGAACAAAGCTCAGCGCTCAATGATTAGGTTTGATTGGTGGTCACAAATGTATTGATGTTGGCAGCAGCAGCACCACCTGGGTGGCAACAGGGAAAGTCCCACTGCAGCTATATTGATGAATGTCAGGAAATTAACCGGATTACATGTCATTATGTAATTGACTTTACTGATTACATGCTGGGATACTTACTGGAATAGTTAGGGAATTTTATATTCCCTGACGTTTTTTTTTTTTTTTTGGGAAGTGCCTTTTTTTTTTACCTCTGAAAATTGACAGCAGTAAATTCCTCTGTGTTTAACCCCGTAACTTGGTACGTCAGCTTTAATCTTTCATCAATCACTTTTAATCTTTCAGAATCACATGTTATTTCAATGCACCCGTAATAATAGTGGTTAAACAATATTTGAAGGCAGTCTGAGGATAATAGAGCTCATCGCTGTATCATTTGTTGTCGTCTACACATGCAAACAATGTCTTAGAAACGATCTCAGCCTTCGTGCAATTGAACTACTCCCACTAAAGTTATTTAGAATATTATTAATGCTGAAACTGTGGGAAATACTATGATTATGTAGCATTTCTCACAGTTTCTAAAGGTATAACTGTTAACTGGCTACATGTTTGAAAAGTGTCCAGTTTGATCCTCAGTGATGGCTTCTGATGATTTCTTTGTGTAGTTTGCTTGTTTTCCTTATGTATATAGGTATATAGGACCCTCTATATTGGACCCTGTGATGGACTGGGGTACCCCACCTTTGTCCAATGACTGCTGGGATTCCATTTTCTATATACTTTTATACTACTCCTTGTTGCATCAGTAAATATTCTAAATTGAAAAGTAGAGGAATTGACACGAACGTCAGATCTCTGAAAATGTCTTTTTAACCAAGGGACAGAATGTTACAGCTCGACTTTTGCCTTAGCCATTAATCATCTAGCTGTCAGTGTCTTCTCAAACACACACCCACTCACCCACACACACAGGCTTTAAAACACATGAACACACTTGCAAGACAACCCTTGCTTCAGACACTCGACCTCTTCTTTTCTCTGACTGACGAGCGTAAATCTTGGCCTGTTGAACTGCCTTCTCACTGTCAGCGGCGGTTTCGTGTTGCTTTACAAAGCTGTGACTTTTCAGCACACACAGGGGAAGGTAGAGAGAGAAAGTGTTATAATAGGAATGTAGCTGTGGGGTGCACTGAAACGTATTTCCACTGTGGTGCGGTGAGTATGTCGCAACAGTATTGCAGTAAACACAGGGCTGTTTTCCAGGGTTCAGGAGTTACAGTGTGCAAAGACAGGAATCTCAAAATGAAATAATCTTCAACTTTAACATGCATTGTCCAAAAGGATAATGTAATAAATAATTTGTGTTGTTTAGTATTAAGTTAGACACATCTGCTTTGTCAATGGACTAAATCTATTTGCCACAACATGACACAACTCGGGATATCGAATAATATTGCATTAATATCCGCTAAGGTTAATTTATGGTTGCGTTTCCTTAATACCATCAGTAAATAATAATACGCCGGAACTATATCGAACGGAATCAAAACAAAGTTGCACAACACCTGCTTTTTGACACGTGTGTTTCTTTGTTTTGGGTCCGCGGAAGTTGCAGGAAACAAGCGTGCCCCAGTGGGTAAAAATGGCAGAAAAGGGGCCTTAATTCAGCCGTGAGGGGTTAATTTGGACCGAGAAATAAATGGCCAAGGTGTCGTGGAGGACTGCTTGTAAATATGTAAAGTATGAAAGTGAAAATTGCGGCGAAAGGAGGAAATACGTCAGATATGGTTCATCACTTGCGGGACAACATCCCGAGTTTGTTTGCTAAAGTAAAGGTAAATACACAGTGACTGGATACACTTTTTTTTTTCATTTTGGACATATAATGTACTCAGTTTTTGGCCTGCATAGATTGGATTTTTCAACTGTGTCGGTTTAAATGGTTTAAAATTCAGTCTAATTTGAAGCAAAACGCAAAATAAATGTCAATGTTGCTATGTTACTATGGTAAGGTAACACTCTATTGTTTATATCTCTCTATGTGCATTAAAACGCATATTGTCAATGCAAATGAAAAGTGGTTAGTGAGATGTTTGTCCATTACCTGCAGTAAAAGCACATTTCACATAAAGGGATTGGTCATAGTCATTGAACCCTTTGAAAAGGTCAAGGTGGTCAAATATGAATAAAGAGTGCAAAAAGGAAACTTCCAGGGATGAAGGTGGGGGGTGGGGGAGGGGTGTCAGTGTGAACCTTTTCATCCCCTCCTGTACTCACTCAGGATGAATACAGAGTACTTGGCCTCATCCCTGTGGGTGTTTTATTGATTGAGACAAACAACAAACTGTCAGGAAGAATTTGATGCATGACTCACTGCTGATTTTCTCCATCATTCCCTAACAGAAAACAGCAGCTATGGATGTCAGCGTACTCCACTGTCTCCATGGCTGCCATGCTGCTGCCCCTCCTCCTAGCTCCGGCTCTTGGACGTAAGTCACCTTCACAGAAATGAACAATCACTGCCACAACACCATATCACTCCCCCCCCCCCCCTTTTTCTCATATATGCAAACTGTCATCACTGTTGATCTGTTTGTCCTGTAAACACGGACAAAGGGTGGCCAGGTTGTGTGTTGACTGTTGCCAGGTTGCTCCCTTTAATCAGAGCGCATGAAGCAAAACCCAGGAACCGGACTGTACCGGTCTGTGCAGGTGGATTAAACCAGATTAAATGTCCCCTCTGATAATCACGACAAAACCTGTTTGGGAAAATAATGCGCCCCAACACGAACGTGCAGCAACGTCAGGTTCTGCACGTGACGTCTCCGTCGTGGCTGCTCTACTGCCAGCTGCACTAATGACTGGCATTTTAAACCTAATGCCTTGGCAGGCACCGACTTTTACAAGTTGAGGCCCACGTACGCGGTCAGATAAGTGTTTAGTGGCAGTAAATATGGGACTATAAATACCGTCTCACCGCTCCATCTCATTTGTCAGCAGTTCTGTGGGGATGTGGGAACAGCTTCCAGATGTGTTGCCTTCTCCCCGCTCGCTGTAAATGAGCTGACTCAGGTTATTGACAGGGAAGCCCTGTGGCTACCGCAATACACAATTCATAGGGGAGGAAAAAAAAAAAGGGTGAAGGAAGGAGGCCTTCCTCCTCAGATGCTGCCCTGTCAACTGACAATCACTGTAAGTGATTCTTAAAACATTAGTTTAGATTAAAAATAAGGGGATAGGTTTGATATTATGATATATATTCTTGAGTTTTTTTAGTTAGTTTTTGAGGCACTACCAGGAATTCTGGGTCCCATGGAAAAATATGACAGCGGGCTCCTATGTTACACACTTAAAAGATTGATTTCCACTACAAGAAATGTCTCAAAGCAACACTAAAATAAATAAATATTTTTTGGGGAAATGTTTTTGAAATCGTCCCAACCCCGTCCTCTGTACAACGTCACCGCTTGTATCTGCCACTGGAATCAAATTAAAAAAAGCAAAGGTAAAAGCACAAGGTCATTTTCTTCTTGTTTTGTCCTATCAGAACTTGATCTCAACCGACTGGACGGCGATAGCGTCTGTCCACCAATCAGAAGCGGACAAGATGACCTTCCAGGTAGGACTCTCTTTCAATAACACCGGGGTGGAATGATTTGTGGAATGATTGTTTCCAGTCGGGCTGTGCACAGACCAAATGTTTAAGAGGCAGCAGTTTCAAAAACCCACAAAACTATGCCTTAAAAATTCCCCAAAGAGAAAATTGACTATGTGCAGTAGGGTGGTGAGTTTAACTAGTTGAAACAGGGTGGGCTGCCTAATACCTCGAGACACCTTTGGATTTCAAATGAGCCAAATAAAATGTTCCACTTGAGCTTTACAGTATTTCACTTAGACCAATTCACACTCAGCAAGATTTTAATTGCTCACCGCAAATTATTTTAAACATCTGACTCCTCCCACTGCGCCTTTTTTTTTTGTTTTTTTTTTTGTTTTTATACAAACCGTTCCTTTTTTTTTATCACAATAGGTTTCGACCTCATCACTCAGTTCCAGCTGGATGTCATATCTCTGAAAGGTGTGAGGAAGGTGGAGGGCTCCACTCCCCTCCAGGTGGCGTACCGCCTCGACAGAGAGGCCAACTTCCAAATACCAACTATGTGAGTACAGTAAAGAATGTTTAAGATGAACAGATGTTCAAAAAAAAAAAAGCATTAGCACGCACGCACATGTGCACACCACACACACATGCTGGTGAGCAGCATGGCGTCCAGATGCAGGTGTTGCATTATTATAGGTCTGCACAGATGTTTTCTGCAGGGTGAATAGCATATAATTGTGGTAAAAAACAAAACAAAAAAAACAAATAAAAAAAAAAACATGCCCGATCATTCTTTCTTAGAGGAAAACTGAGAACACATTGCGATACAACTTTCCTCTTTCCTATTCCACATACTCCGCTCTGCTGTTGCTAACCTCTTTTTCAGGGCAGCTTTCCTCAGGCGCTGTTAGATAACTGGCCGGCTCCCTGCTTTGACACCACCGGGGCCAGCAACACTGGATGTAATTTTGTCCAGTGGCACTGTCGGGGCTTTGAAGTCCACCCAGGACTCTCTGCAGTGCCTCGCTTTAATTCTGCAGGGCAAAATCAGCACCTAGTTTAGACTTTCTCACCTCTGACAAAACCCGAGAGTGGTCTTCATTTGGTTAACTGCTTCACAGGAAACTCTTTTTTTTTCTTTTTTTTTTTATTGCTTCACCTTGATCGTTTACAAGATGATAAAAGTCCGGCTGTAGCGCCCATCTATGAAGGCGCCACCTACTGAGACTCTGGCTTGTTAAGAACAGAGAAAGAACCCAAATGGGAGAACTGGCCACGAGTACACGCTCTAATGGAACGAGTGATTTATGAACGGAGACGCAGCTCTGTCAGTGTCTCGTGTCTTTATTGGAGCTTCACATGGAACTACTGTACCAGTAGATTCTCACTAGCTTCCTGGTTTGAACGGCTAGCGATACTGAAGACATACCTAGCGATAAGAAAGACTGATGAGCATATGAATTGTTTGAAGATGAAGATGTTTTTTTTTCAAATGAAAAGTACCAGCAGCTATTTCATATTTCAAAATAAAAGCTATTCAATTTGCTGCATTACTTATTGACAGACCTGAAATAATTAGCATTAGGATTTAATATAAAAAAAGATAAATTATTATTATTATTATTTGTTTAAACACAAATTGAAAAAAATGCAATTCTCAAATACAAACATATATATAAATATATATAAAATAAATATAGAAGTATGCACAACTGATACAAGTTAGACTTGCGCTGACCTGTTCTGTTCATATTGCTATGGTTCATGTATAATATATTGAGTATGGGATAGAATACTGTGGATTATACATTAATATTAAATCCAGTCAAACTGTTGTTTCCTGATTATACCAATGCCACTTGAAAGCATCATTCACTGCAGGCCCTTCAGGTCTCTGTAGAAACTCTTTCATCTCTGTTGGGGGGGTGCATGATAGTTGTGTGTCAGCCTTCACTTCACATTATTCTACACTGACCTAAATCCCTGATGTGCATTTTCTACCAGGCTTAACTTCCCTCGGGGCTTCCCAGATGAGTATTCCTTCATGGTGACTTTCCGCATGATCAAGAACACTGTGAACAAGGTGTGGAATATCTGGCAAATCGTGGACGAAGAAGGTCACAAACAGGCCGGTCTGAGGCTGAATGGAGACCAGCAGGCCCTGGAGTACTTCCTGATGGGTGCCGAAGGCTATCTGCAGACCGTCACCTTCCCAGGACTGTCGGTACTTTTCAACACCAAGTGGCACAAGGTAATGATCGGCGTGGAATACGAAATGGTCACTCTGTACGTGGACTGCCAGCCGGTGGATCAAAAACCCATCAAGGGCAAAGGACCTGTCAACACGGAGGGGGACACCCTCATCGGCCGCCTGGATTCCGACCCCGACGCCTCTGTTGTGGTAAGTCCCCATGGCGAACTGCCATAATCACGCTCGGAGATTCTTCGTACGAGCTTTGTCAGTAAAACGGCGCTCACTATGAACAGAAACATTGAGGGTTTAGGTGTGTGCTGAGCGCTGCTATAATTCTCAAGCACTGCTGTTACAGCAGACCTGCTCAGCTGGGCTCCGGTCGGGGGGTTAGGGGGGAGGAATAGAAAACCTAATCCCTGCAGAAAATTGCATGGGTAGAAAAATCCAGCTCAACATCCCACACAAAGGGCACAGACTCTACAGGCCAACCAAAAGAGGAAATACTCCTCCAGTGCATTTGAAAGGTGTTCCCAGTGTCACAAACGAATGAGTGAAAATGAATGTGGTTTTTCTTTTCAGTTTGAGCTCCAGTGGATGCTGATTCACTGCGACCCAAAGAGAGCCCAGAGAGAGAGCTGCAACGAGCTGCCTGCCACTGAGGTACAGTATCAGGGATTAGATCTGCTCGGCGTCGGCTGTGGTTTGTCGTTTTATTCGCAGGAAAAAAAATCAAGAGGAAGTGTAGGGTCGTCCCAATCAGAGTCAGCAGATATCACAGAAGGGAACACTTCCATAGTTAAACTGCTTTGGCAATAATAAACACATTTTAATAGATCTACTGAAAGCCATGTGTTAGGATGACAAAGTTACTGTGAATGGATTTTTTTTATTTATTTTTTTGGCACTGATTTTTATAAGGCTCATAAAGTTTTAACTGCATTATTTTACTGTAAAATGCAGTGCAGCAGACACCACGGTACGTTTTTTATTTTACTTAACTAATTGTTCGTTTAGACAAATATATTTTAACTCTGCAGAATACAGATGCGCTGCCTGCGGCCTGATACCATTTAAAGTAGTATCCTGCTTTTCTTAAAGGGACATGTATTTTTATTTTATTTAATTCAGGCATACATTCTTAAAACACATTTTGCACGGGAGCTAGTTGCCGGGCGGAGGGGAAGAATACGTCGTCACACAGCGCTATACACAAAAGACAGCTTAGACAACATTAGATTATATTAATCTAAATTAGTGACATAGGTACTTATGTACGTTGCGCCCTATTAACAGAATTCCGACATCTTCCAATCATAGAATCTTCTATTTTCTGTTGGTTTCAACCTTCCTTCTTCAGTGGGTTTACGTCTAACAATTATAACTTTGGTACAAGGATTATTTTCATCCTATGTTTCTCAATTCACTTTTTCTAAACTACAAGCACAGATTTCCCACTCAGACCACATGTAATTCCCAAGCCCTCATACGAATTAAGAAAAATTCCAGGTGCATAAAAGTAAGTCTTAATCACACTTTCTTAACAATGAAATAAAAACATCCACACCCCCTAATTATTTTAATCGTTCCAAAATGCTATATGACATGCAGAAGCGAACGCCATCCAAATGAGTGAAAAACAGATTAAGAGCAGAGCTGGGAAAACAACAGGAGGCAAAATAGTGTACAGAAATCACTGCTAAAAAAAAAAAACAGGTCATAAAAAATAAACCGCTTACAATCCAGGAATTATTTTAAACACAGGTAATGTCGGACAAAAGAGGAACGGGTGTTTGGCTGAGGGAGGGGTTGGGCCTCGAGGGTTAGCAGCGGCTTAAGGTGAAGTTGCAGGAAGTGGGTGAATTGCCCTTACCTTACAATTAGACTACGGATGTTGGATAAAAAAAATGGCAGCCTTCAGTTATTAAAACACAAAGGATATTTTATTTGTTTTCTCCGGTAATGTAAAAACATCTGCAGAGAAAATGTGCATCTGGTGTAAATAAAATGACTTTAATGTCTGGGTTTATAAAAGCATGAGTGATGGTTTTATTCCCACCGTGGGAATCAAAAATATATCATAGGTTTTCGGAATTTTCTTCTTACATTTTTACACCTTTTGTGCAGTTTCATCACGTTCATTTTTCTTGTTAATCTTGCAGCCATGTATACCGGGTTTTACTATTTGAACAGGAGTGCTTTTGCTGGCACCTTTGGTGAGCGGGAGGTGTGACTACTTTCACTAACTGCTTTGTCTGATTTCTCTTGCTCCTTCAGATGTATGCCAATGCTGAGGTATTTATTCTTCTCCTCCACTTTGTTCTTTTTGCTTTGTGATTTAAATCCAGTCATGATCCGCTCAGCGGTGCTTTTGTGGCCTAATTATCTAATGGCTTCATTCTTTTTCTAACAATTGGTGGTGGTAACCTCCTGTTTTTAGAAAAAAAAACAGATACTGTACACAATGTAAAATCAGAACTAAAATGTACTTGGATAATTACTGATTCCTTTTCAAAAATAAACATACACCTGTAATGATTAGCAAATTGGTGACAGATGTATCTCCTTTCTCAGCCTGATAAAACAGTTCAAGGCCCACCAGGAGCTCCAGGCCCTCAGGGCATTCCAGGGGATCCAGGTGAAGATGGCAGGGATGGCAGAGATGTAAGTCTCTTCAGTCACTTTTCTTTGTCAGAACCATTTCTGTGACAACCAGTGTACATTTTACCCTGACTAAGTAAGACTTTTATTTACTTTTCCAGGGTCTTCCAGGGTCTCCTGGCAGTCCAGGCAATTCTGTGAGTATATAATAGGATATCAAAGTTCAAAATGATAATCTGGTAACACTTTTTTTTGGTGAGTGTGCATTCAATTTTTTTTGTTAAGACATAATAATGGGAAATGTATTTTTCACAGTTTGATGTAATGCTGACACCGACATATTTAGATTTTTTTTCTCACATTACAACAAACTTTTATTTTTATTTAACCTTTAATTTATCAGGATCAATAACTCTTTATTTAAACAGCAGAAACAAAACGTGTCTTTTAAAACCCTCAATGCAGCATGTAATACAGTGCTACTCGTACTCAGCTAGTCGGTCAGGTTTACAGAGATAGGAGTGTACAGTAGGCTGCAGCCTTTCCAGTTTAATAAAGAGCCAGGTTGTAGCTCCCCCTCTCCCCCCAGTCCTCCCCCTCACCCCCACCCATCTCAAAGGGAGGGAGCTCTACATCTAATGCGGCTTTATTCCGGTGAAATATGGCAGATGAAAATTAAAAAAAAAAACATATAAAAGATCTAATTAAATTCTCACCACGTAAATGTGAATAATTAAATCATGTGAATAGAGAGACGTCGAGTCAATTGCAGCTGTCATTTGGATCTGAAAGAGAATCAATCAGCAGCCTTCAGTCTCTTCAGTGTAAATTCCTCCTTGGTGCCGATCACCCAGATATTACTGTCCCGACTTCATCTACACATGCATCACCGTAAACGCACGTCTTGTCTGCATATCCGTGCGCTAACAGTGGTTTTTTGGAGCTCGTGCTGCTTTGTCACGCGGCATAAATCCGTGCTCTGCCCCACTTCCTGTCCAGTTTGTTACCTGCAGTGCCCTGTGTGCTGTATGCAGATCTTGGATGCGACCGCGGCCAACCTGCCACTGATTTAATGTCAACTGTCATTGCCTCCGTATCTTAGCAACAGACAGAGAGACGCAGGATGAAGATAAATTTGTTTTGTTCTTGTTTGTCATTGTTTCCCAGGGCAGCAAAGGGGAGCAAGGGGAGATCGGGCTTCCCGGACAGAGAGGCCTTCCTGGTCTTCCTGGAAATCCTGTAGGAAACATTTTTTTTTATATTTATGTGTAGTTTTAGGGTGAATGGGTTTGATCGTGTAGCGAACACTCAGGAATAGAAAATTACGTCGCTTCATATTTGACTGTCTTGAATAGTGGAGTTTTTATTGTTTACAGGGTCCAGCTGGTCCAATGGGCCCCAGGGGACCTGTGGGAGAGAGGGTAGGTAAACTCCAAGTTATAATAATGATAATAAAATGAATAATAATAATACCATCACCATTATCGTTCATTTTATTTTTTATTTCCTTTTCTATGTATTTTCTGTCCTTCAAGGGCCTTCCAGGTTTTCCAGGACCTGCAGGTGTTCCTGTAAGTGTAAAAAAAACTTGCTGAAAACATCTGCATGTATTTATTTATGAAGTTTCATTTAAAGAAAATATATATATATATATAATATACTGTTCTTTTTTTCTTTTTTCACAGGGACCAGCCAGTGAAGGACCTGCTGTACGTTTATCAAGTTTTGAGTCGTTTCCGGACGTTCGTGTTATCGAAATGGTGACGTCACATGAAACCCTATAATGTGTTGTGTGTCTGTGTGTGTGTGTGTGTGTGTGTGTGTGTGTAACAGGGACCACCAGGAAAACCTGGAACCCCTGGAGATGAAGGAAACATCGGCCCTGAGGTCAGAGTTCATTTTAATTTGACATAAAGAACATTAGTCATTATTTTGGTACCGATGTAGAAGAAGCCGGTGCTAAAAAGTTCTTCTTTGTTCTTATCCACTTACAGGGTCCACCTGGACCGAGAGGGAACCCAGGTACCGGTGGTGTTCCTGGTCCACCTGGTCCACCTGGGCCTGTGGTAAGACAGTTAAATTGTGTCCAGTTTTGCCTCTCAGAATATTTTCCTTATTTTTTTTTTTTACAATGTTTTTTTTTACTGTAACTGTATTGTCAGTATGTATTATGATAACAACAAAAATGCACTAAACTACAGGTTAAACTAAATTTCACGTATCATTAAAACTGAAATGTTCATCTTTTTTTTTTCTTTTTTAACATAACTTTAGCGAATGTCTGCATGTTGTTCATTTTCAGTCTCGGTGTTACATCCTTCATAATAAGTGGTGTTTTCTATTTTTTCATGCCTTCTACTCCTGTGTTAAATCACTGATATATAATGCTGTTGCACGCCACAGTCTTTTTTTCTTCCTACTTTTGGGAATCCTGGTGTCTTGGACATCTAAAGCACCTCTGGCTGTCTTAGATGTCACTCTGCTGTGTTGTAGGGACCGCCCGGTGCCAGCAATGAGGGAAGTGGGGACCCTGTGAGTGTATTACTGTCTTACTCCCTGTCAAATATGTCCTGGATGCATGGCAATTGTTCTGGTGACGATACATTTCTCATACAAATCGCTCCTCCGATGATCACAATGGCTTCAGCGGCCGCAACTCGGTTGCCAATCTGTCCGTCGGCTTAGTCCCGAGTGTCAAATTTGTCCTTTGTCCCTTTTTTTCCAAGTGTCCTGCTGCCTGTCCTGCTGGACCTCAGGGGATGGCTGGACTACCGGGGATGAAGGTATGGCTAGAAATTCAGAAGTTTTCAGTGTTCTTCATTGATGTGATTGATTGATTCCTTGTTGCCTTTCAGGGTCACAAAGGTGTGGCTGGTGAGCCTGGAAAGGATGGAATACCTGGAGCGAAGGTGCGTGACGTTGTCATTTATATACATCTAGAATGTGAACTTCAATAAAACAAGACACTTTCTGCGCTTTATGTCACGTGTGCGAATGAAATCTAATGCCGAAAGCGACGTGAGCGTACAGTAGCTGATTTGATTTAAACGCCCTAATGTCATTACTCCCTAATGTCATTACTGCTATCCTCATAATGGGATTACACCGCTGTGTTTGTGTTTCCACAGGGAGAAGCCGGAGCAGCGGGTGCACAGGGACCACCAGGTCGCATAGGAGATGACGTGAGGAGGCTCTTTAGTCAAACAGAACAAATACTTTATTATTAGATCTGGTGACATTTGTGCGTCTGTCTGTCTGTCCACTGACTGCTCTTTCGTCACTGTAGGGCCAAAGAGGGCCAATAGGACTTCCTGGAAGCTCTGGGGAGAAGGGAGACAGAGTAAGTTTGAAGCACAGATGATCACTCCTGAGTGTATTTATGTGGAAACACGCTCATTTGTCTTCACAGGGTCTTCCTGGTTTCAATGGTGTCCCAGGACCAACAGGCCCACCTGGAGCTCCTGTAAGTTTGTTTGTTTTTTTTTTAAATGACACTTTTATTTATATCAATCCACTTTATACATTTTATGATTTTTTTTTTTTCTCTCCCAGGGCACAGAGGGAATCCGTGGACGTCAGGGATTGCAAGGAGATAAGGGTGACGATGTGAGTTGTAGCTTCATGCATTTATATAAAGTCATATACATATATTCATATTATATACAGCTACACACATATAATTGCTGATTTTTTTTTTTTAGGGTGCTCTGGGACCAAAGGGTGAGCAAGGAAGTCAAGGGGAAAAAGGAGATATTGTAAGTGACCTGTTCATATTCACTGAGCATAGTTTATATTGTGGATTTGGTTCTGACTGGCCATGTGTCGCAACAGGGGGAACCTGGAAAAGATGGGATGAGTGGAATTCCTGGAGTTGATGGTGCTAAGGTAAATTTGTTTCCACTCCACATCCATTTTATTAAATAATTAATAAAGGAACAGGATTCAGCCTCAGACTCTGGTCACCAGTCCATTTCAGCACCACGGAGAGAGACAATAACACAACTGTAGTTCAAAGTGTAAAGTCTTTGACTCAGTGTTTATACCATCAATATACAGTACTAAAAAACTGAGACACAACAAGTTAATTCATTGTCTTCTTGTTTTTTACCTCCTTTTATTTATTATTTTATTTTATTATTTTATTTTAACTAGGATCATGTCAGCCCTCTCACCTGTTTGTTTGCAGTTGTTTTATTAGGATCTTTCATCACAAACACACACATATGCACCAGTGGGAATGTTACCTGTGAATGTGTTCAACAGGGAGATCCTGGTACTCCTGGTGCTGTTGGTATAAGAGGAATTGTGGGTATTCCAGTAAGTCAATTCACATTATTTGCTCCCTTCCATCTCAGTTTACACTCGTTAATTATACAGTGTTTTCATCCTGTTACTGTTATTGCACTCTAAGTGGAAGCAGTTATATTTGATTATCTTTATATTTGCAGTTTTAAAGAGATATTTCCAGTAGTTAATATAAATGAATACTGATGAAACAACTTGGTTTTTAGCACTTAGCATAAGCTGCTCTCTGCCTGTGACCATTTACAAGCATGGCTGGTAGAGATAAGGAAGTCTGTGTGCAGTCTTGACTGAGCCTGAACATTAACACTAGCACATATCTATTTAAACTGGGTTTTATTTCAGCTGTTGATGTTTTGATTGATGTTCCCAGGGCCTGCCTGGAAAGCAGGGAGTTGTTGGACCCCCTGGTGAGAAGGCAAGTAAAACTTATTTACAGATATTAAACCATTCTTTCAAACTACTAGTTCCCACCTTTTATGACTCGTGACCCCATTTTAACTTGGCCACAGACACTTTAGTAGCTGCTAGTTAGTAGTCAGGTGATCAGAGCTGTCAATCAACATACATACATAAAAGTAAAAGAACACATGTTGCAAATTGTGTGGCATTTACTCAATTAAATAAAATCTGTGACAGAAAAAAAAAATACAAAAAACAAAGGACATGGTGTAATTAAACCAAAGACTGTTCTAAATTGGTCACTCCTTGTGGCTCGTTAGCTCAGATGCTACAAAACCACTGGTTCCCAACTTTTTCTGGCTTGTGACCACATTTGGAATTAGGTTTTTGGAATTGCTGGTGGCCTCAGAGCAGCTAAAGCTAAAGAGCAGCTACAACATCTTAAGTATCCACTTACTTTGTCCAGCTTCTCGATGTTACCATTTTTTGGATAAGACGACAGGATCACAGAACCTAAAGACTTCAATCCATGTTGCTAATAAACTCTTCTTCAACCGTAGGGTGAAACTGGTGCAGATGGACCCACGGGGCCTGTTGGACTTCCTGGAAAGACTGTATGACTACCACACTTGTGTTGACATTTTTTTATTAATTGATCATTTTATCAAACAAAACCCCATTCCTTTTAACAGGGTGAGCCTGGGAAACATGGAAAAGACGGGAAACAAGGAGATAAAGGATCAACGGTAATTTCACATCAATCAGCCACAAACTGACCTCTGTTGGTGTCACTCTTCCACCAGATTTCAAAGATACAGAGTTGCAGTTTCACTGATTATTTAATTTGTTTCTCAGGGTGAAACGGGAAAACAAGGCCCAGTGGGACCTGCAGGTCCTCCAGGAATCCAGGTGAGACAACCCTTGAATGTAACAGGGGGAAAAAAAAAAAAAATTACTTTAGGTATGAGGAACTAATGCTAAAGAACACATGTCAATTTTATTTTAATTGTTAAAAAAGACATTACAAACTAAAGTCAATGGGGATTTAGCTCTTTTAAATTCAAATTTAAATGCAACCACGTTAAAAAAAAAAAGCAAGCAATTTGTAATAATACTTGGAAAAGAAACATTTATGCAAAAAACAAGAAAAACAAATCCGTGTTCACCGATGGGTGACAAATGTGGGCAACTTTTAACCTGTTGGAGAGCACGTTAACGGCTCAATTAGAGTAGATATATTGAGGGGAAAAAAAGAAAGAAATTGTACTAGGTTGTAGAGAACGCAGTAGTGTCCAGTCGGAGCACTGAACGCTGGGGCCCCGCACCCTTGCGGCCCTAGCCTTGCGCTGCGCAAGGCTAGGAACACTTGCGCTGCGCAAGGCTAGGGCCAAAGCACCGCTACCCCGACACAGATCGCCGGTAAATGCTGGCGAGAGACCGAGAAAACGTTTAGCGTTTAACCAGGCAGCAATCGATAAATGAAGAGAAATAGTCGCCATACCTGGAGAGAGCGAACCTGCAGCACGTGCAACTCCGGACCGTCAGCACCATCAGCAGCCAAGTGCACTGCAAGGCACAATATAAAGCAGGTGTAATGTCAAGAGACTGCATGGAGATCACCGATAACAGAAAGTGAGGAGAAGAGAAAAAAATAAAATAAAATAAATAAATAAATTACTACTTTAGAGAGGTGGGAAGACTCGGTCAAATCACCATCGACTGCAGCACCATAGAACGACACGTCAAAGAAAGACATCAGCCACGAATGGGCCAAAGAAACGCACAGGTTTATATAGTCGCCGCGCAGCCGCAGTAAGGTTGGCCCCGCCCATCAATCAGTGCATGGAGCAGATGCTCACCTGGTTACTGAGAAATGATGAGCTGAAGAAGAACACAGAGGCTTGACCTTAGAGGTCAGGTCAGATATGTTAAAGATATTTAATTTACAGGGTCACACAGGAGAAAAAGGTGATGCTGGTGAGAGGGGAATCAAGGGGCATCCTGGGTACAAAGGAGATCAGGTGAGAAAACACAATTATATTCATTAACTTAATTAACTTACTGTATATATATATATATATGTTTATATATGTATATATATATATGTATGTATATATATGTGTATATATATATATATATGTTTATATATGTATATATATATATGTATATATATATGTTTCTGAAATGAAATAATCTTTCTTTTACGTTCATTTTATCCGTTGTGATCCAGGGACCTATGGGACCAGAAGGTCAAAAAGGGAGTCCGGTAAGAACAACATTTCAAAGATTTATATTAGAAAGATTTGAAGCCTTTCCATCAATCACTCATATTTACTGTCACTCACTTCAAACAGGGAGACCCAGGTACAGCTGGAGATTCTGGTGTAAAGGGAGACCAGGTGAGTGAAGACTCTCGTGTGTGTGTAAAACATCAGACTGACCTTTAAGTCAGTTTGGCTGTGGTTGAGAAAGTTCCCATGATTATTGTCTGTTGCAGGGTCCTCCGGGAATTCCTGGAATCAAAGGAGAGGTAATAACCCTGAAGTGTTTTCACATTTCCAGTATTTACATACATAAATATATTTTTAAATGTTAACTGACTGTTGCATGTTCTTTAACAAAATTAAATAAGTCAGCTCCATATCACTGAGTACAGCCTGGATCAATGTGATGTAATATACTGTCTGATCTTTTTATTTTTATTTTTATTTTTTTCATTTACAAAAGCGTGGAGATAAAGGCCTTAGAGGAGCCACTGGTCCTGATGGTAGACCAGGTCGGCCAGGTCATGAGGGTTTGTCCGGTCCGATGGGGGCCCCAGGCCTGGAGGGAGAACAAGGCCTTCCTGGAACACCAGGACCCAGAGGTCTACCTGTGAGTTGTTAAACATTTTTTAAAACTCTGAATCTGCAGATTCCCAGCAGTGACAGTCAACAAATATGTTCCATGTATTTAAATGAAACATATCAATGATATCAAGTAGTGTTGTTGTTGTTGTTGTTGTTGTTGTTGTTGTTGTCAACAGTGTCTTACTGTATTCACAGGGCCCGAAAGTGAATGACGAGAAGTTACGGGAAATCTGTTCAGCTGTAGTGGAAGGTCAGTATGTTTTTAATGAAGATTTGTAAGAAAATCACTCTTTTTAACCAATACATTGCCGTCCTCTCTGTCTCTTAATCCCCCCTTTGTCTTCTGTTCATTTCCAACGATGGCATTGAATGTCCATTTTTGACATCCCCTTAGGGCGTATATATTGCCATCTGTCCAGTTTGTTCCTGGAGAACTTGTGTTTCCCACTTCTTCAGTCAGATCTGATCTGTCATCTTCATCAACCTGGTCTCCTGCTCTTCCTCCTCCAGGAACTCCTCCTCTTCAATATATAAAAATCAAAATATATATATATATAAAACAAAAATGACCAAAACTTTTTCAAGATGGATTTGTAGTAAATAGTAAAGGCACATTGGTTGGGAATCTTGTATGAGCTGTGTATATATATATAATGTTCATGACTTGATTCTTTGTTGTTATTAAAATCGATTCAATGTTTCGTTAAGAACAACTGACTGAGTTCAGAAAGGAGCTTCTAAGACGACCAGCAGCCCTCGGTGCCCCTGGTAAAGCAGGAGCAGCAGGACCTCCTGGACCTCCAGGACCAGCCGGAGAGGCCGGTGCACCAGGAGCCCAAGGGCTCATGGGTCCCAAAGGTCCACCGGGCTATTTCGGACTACCAGGTGCACCTGGAAAAAAAGGTCAGTTAACTTCTTCCGTCCCTGGTCTCTGTGTATCTACTCAACACTGAACCAGTCAACTGAGAATTTAGATTTATTTCACCAGTGATAAGGAATCCTTGATGAATCCCTGATGACTGAAATCTCCTCCACTGTAGGTGATGTCGGGGAAAAGGGAGACATGGGAGAAAAAGGAGAAGATGGTGTCGGAATCAAAGGCAGCCCAGGCGTTCCAGGTGCACCAGGTGAGACGGGAATTCCAATCACAACTACCTTCCCTCCTGAAACACTATATGAAAAAGTTATTATATTGTTTGGAAAACATTGTGACAAAAATTCCTCCTGTTTTCTCAGGCACACCAGGGGTCCCTGGTATCGGCAAGGACGGCAAAAATGGAGAACGTGGTGAAACAGGGAGTCCTGGCGTACCGGGTGCACCTGGCTCACGGGGATCTGCAGGACCACCTGGCCTTTGCGACCCATCGACCTGCATAAGCCGAATGCCACCTCTCTACATGGTCAGTGGCAAGAAATCTGCCGGCTACAAGAACCCGTGAGACATTTCTGCTCATCAATAAAGTCCAGATTTCATCATGATGTGGTTAAGGGCTCTGCAGGACTCATCCTATGGTGATTGTGAGGAGACCCCCATGACCCCTACCCAAACCAATGATGTTTGAGACTGAAACATTAACACAGAGACAAAAAACCCAACTGTAAGATACTGTATAGAACCTCTTTGAACTTACGTATGTGATTATAGAGAAAGTGAATGCAATGGAGCATAGTAAAGGACATCTGCTACACATGGCAACACGACGTGTTCCTGCAGAACATTCACTGACCCTTGGTGCTTCAAAGCAACACTAGGAGTTGAATTTGGAAAAATGGAAAAAAAAAAATCATTTTCATACATACCATTTAACTAGATAATGCAAAAGATTTTATTTTGTAACTCAGTGTTGCAGCTTTTTTTGTTTATTCTAAATATAGTAAAAACCCATTTCGAAATTTCCAAAAGATAAAGTATAATGTGGAGAAAAAAAAGTGACGGTTTCTCATTATATGTGCAAGAATTGTTTGGATCAAAAATTCATGTTTGAAATTTAAAAAAATTGGAACATTGTAATAAAATATGGTTTGGAAAATAGAATGTATTTGTGTGTGTAATTCAGGGTTATATATATATATATATAAGATGACATGCTGTTCAGGAAATTGAATATATATACAGAAAGTCTGAAAATATATACAGAATGTCTGACTATATATAATGAAAAAAGAAAAAAATGACATATTCTTTACTTTGGCAGTGCTGCCTTTAAGTACTGCTGTGGATGACTGACAGAGATGTTATCACCTTCTCTCTATAATTACCTTCACTCAAAATCACTTGGTCAGTGAAAGAAGTAGCTCTATGGTCAAATGAATGAAGTGATTTACAGTAAACACATTTTCTTCATCAAGAATGACTTAAGTTTGGATGTAATCCTTTTAGGAAATGAATAAAGTTCACCAAATGAGTGTATGTGTGTAGAAAGAGAGAGAGCGAGAGAGATAATAATAGCTGAAATAACTATTAACTAAAAAACGATGTGAAAAATACAATGGAGAAACAGCTGGTGGGTATTTTGTATTGAAATCAAAGGATGTGAATATCAGCTGTCAACTGTAGAGGGCGCGCTGATATTTGGAACGTTTGTATAACGGATGTAGAAATACGCTGCACGGTTCTTTGTTCCGGTTGCGAAATCGACGCATGACACGTGTGTGTTAGCCGTCTGGGCTTCCAGCGGGCGTTCAGGTCAAGAAACTGGTCAACGTGGCTACATCTGATTGATTGAAATGGTGAGTTTTTGCCAACAATTGTCGGTTGTATTTTGTGTGAAATGGTAGTCCTTCGGTCGAGACCGTTAGTGCAATTTACGCTAGCACATGCGTCTTGGCAGCTAACGTTAGCTTTTGTCAGAAATGATTCATAGTTACTTTTTCGTCCTAAACAATGAACATAGAGTTGTGTTTGTAAATGAGGAATTGGCCTTTGACGGGAGTTTGAGCTGGGCTGATGCACTTTTTGAAAATATGAAATTAACTTGCAAATATTACTTTTCTGTACAGAAACCCATCCTGCTGCAGGGGTGCACGACTCAGACCAAGTACAACGGAGAAGGAGACCTGTTTTCCGTCGCTAAAGATCCAGTAAGTGACACGAAATGATTTCACTTAACAAGTGCCACCAATGACTATAGTTTAGTAATTAGTTTGACGTAAAAAATATGGAATGTCCTACAAATGGCGTCACGAAAAGCAGAGTAACCCTCTGCTAGTTTTGACTGGTAATTGTGTTGAAAATATAAGGCCATATGCTTTAAAGTGTGTGAGATATGAAAATCATACTGTAGTAATGAAAAGGGAATTAACAATTAAAACAACAATTAAAACACACAAATGGCTAGAATACAAACATGAGTAGCAGCAGCACACTGTCAATGAATATGGGAAATCTGAACAGTGGATGTTAATAGATTAGTCTGTTAGAAGTAGATAGATTAGTGTTAGTAGATTAGTAGGTAATTGTTGTTGCCGTGTGTGGTGTTGTTGATTGCAATCTCAATTATCATATTTTTATTATGCTATTGTTATTCTAAATTAAATTGTATGGTGTCTACATATAATAAAGTATACCACATTATACCTATGATAGGTATATAAGCAGAACTAGTATAAATAAAGGGATGTTATATGAACAAGTATATAAAATAAATATATATGAAATATGTGCACAGTGTAAATAGTTGGCTAGTAAAATAATGAAATTAAATAAACAGCTATATAGGTGATTTCAGCAGACATATTAGTGCATGCGTATTTAAATGTATTTTGGTTTTTAATTTTTGATCCGTGTCCTTTCTTTAATGTCTGCCATCAGAACACACGGGTTCAATTTCAGCGGCAACATCATCATGTTTGTCCACAGAGAAGCAGATGGGCTGTCAGTGTTTCATGAACTTCTTTGACCTGAGGGATCCACAACAGATCGGTAGTTGAATATATAGAACTTTCTGTTCCAGCAGCAGTACATCACCAAAACAACAATAAAAACACCTAAATATGTTAAAATACAAACATGAGTAGCAGCACACTGTCATTGAATATGGACAACCTGAACATTAGTAGATTAGTCTGTTAGTAAACAGATAAGTATAGATATGTAATTATTGTTGCTGTGTGTTGTTGATTGCAATCTCAATTATTATATCATGTTTTTGTTATACTATTGTTATTCTTAATTAAATTGGTATGTGTATATAGTAAAGAATACCACATTATACCTATGATAAGAATATATACGCAGATCTAGTACAATTATAAGGAAGTTATGTGAACAAGTATATAAAATAAATATATATTATATGAAATATATGGACAGTGTAAATAGTTGAGTAGTGAAATAATGAAATTAAATAAACAGTTAGCTGTATAGGTGGTTCTAGCAGACATATTAGTGTATGACTGTCAAGTGTTTTATATTTTGGTGTTTAATTTTTGCTCCGTGTCTCTTCTTTATTGTCCGCAGTCAGAACACGTGGGTTCGATTTCAGCAGCAGCAGCATCATGTTTTCCACCGCCAAGCAGATGGGCTGCCAGTGTTTCATGAACTTGTTCGACCTGAGGGGTCCACAACAGACCGGTAGGTGATCGTCACGAGCAACGTAAACAAATTAATACCAGAAAAGAAACTAGACTGTAGATAGTACCAACGTGTCATTGTTTATATATGTATGGAATTGTGAGGTGACCCTCCAGTCATTTGTGCTTGAGACCCCTGCTCCAAAGGAGAACAACAGAAATAAGTGAATGAGAAATGAAGATCTTTATTGATAGTTTGTTTTACAAGTATGTTTAAACTGAATTAAATATTGACAATTTGCTGGGGGTCTATAAGAAGATACACCAAAAAAAAAACCACCCAGTAGTAGGTGTGGTTACTTGGAGTGTGTCCACTTGTCTATTTATTCACAATGACATCTTCCTTCAGTCCAGGATTTAGAATATTTGAAGTACATCTTCGGACAAATGAGTGGTATAGTTTGAAATGAACTGTCTGTTATGGTTTTGTGTTACCTTTTAGTGTTGACAGATTCCAGTCCATTAAAGCTACAGTGACTTGACTGTCTGTGACTCTAAGGCCTTGAAGATTTAGTTTATTTTGGAATCCAAGACTTGGATGATGTTGTGAAAATGACTGTCGTGTGTGTTGTAGTGTTAGCATTAGCACTGAAGAAGCCACAACTTTGTATTACTGTTAGTGAGCAGTCATAGTGATGTGTAAACATGTAGTTGAAGTGACTACTTTGTAGCTGTTTTTAAGGAAAACCTGTGGCACAATGCTGTGTTCTTCTCATCTGCAGGTTCTTCCTTGCTATGTGGGAGGAGTTGTTTGGCAGGAGTCAAAGGTCATGTTGGTCCCATCAACCGTGTGGCTTTCTACCCTGACAGCAAGAGGTAAATGAGATCAACACAGGTTTTGTTTCCAGCTCGTACTTGTCATTCCATTCATTGAGCTTCCTCTGCTATTGTCATTTACAGATGCAATGGAGAAGACGGACACGTGACGTGGAGGCCTGAAGCGTTAGCCTTGGACTTTGCCAGGTAGAGTGAAGGAGCAACTGTTGTTAGTTGACTTAGTATGTTTTGGTTTTTTTAGCTTTATTGTGAGGCTTTTTTTGTAGTTAGTAATGTAGTCTAATCACTGTAACTGGATTGCTATTGTTAACAGATTTTTTTTTTTACTTAGTATGGTAAGCCAAAAAAAAAATCTGTTAACAATAGCATAGCGATCCAGTTTTTTAGCTTTATTGTTCATTTTTTGTACTTAAGTACAAGAAATGAACAGTTAAGCTAAAAAATGGATTGCTATGCTATTAACAGATTTTTTTTTTTTACTTTGTATGGTAAGTCAAAAAAATCTGTTAACAATACCATAGCGGCCCCGTTTTTTAGCTTTTTTTTTATACTTAGTATTTTTTTAGCACTTAGTATATTTTTTTGCTTATTTTTTTAGCACTTAGTATATTTTTGTTGCTTTTTTTATACTTAGTATTTTTTTTTAGCACTTAGTATATTTTTTTGCTTATTTTTTTAGCACTTAGTATATTTTTGTTTAGCTTTTTTGTACTTAGTAATTTTTTTTTAGCTCTTAGTTTATTTTTTACTTTTTTTTTAGGTTTTTTGTACTTAGTACTTTTTTTTTGCTTATTTTTTTAGCACTTAGTATATTTTTTTGCTTATTTTTTAGCTCTTTTAGCTTATTTTTGTTCATTGTGTGGTGCAACCTGTGCTGTATTTGAAACTTTCAATAAAAAATGTTTTTTGGACCTTCTTGTGCATTCATTTCCAGATCTTGATCAAAAATTGATGAAAATGAATGGGATATACCATTGACAATTCATGCCTTATAGGGCGTACATTGTCAAAGTCAAAGTCAAAGTCAAAGTCAAAGTCAAGGGTTATATTAGTAGGTATAGTATTTAAAAAAAAAAAAAAATTTTTTAAAAAGAATTTTTTTTTTTTTTTTTTTTTTAATTTTTAATTTTTTTTTTTTTAAGTTTTATTTTTTAAGTTTAAGTTTTTTTTTTAAAGTTTTTAGTTAAGTTTTTTAAGTTAAGTTTTAGTTAAAAAGTAGTAAGTTAAAAAACCCAACCAGAACACTTGCACAATAAACAGCAGCACAACAACTTTTGATTCTTTTAATAGCAAAACACAACATGCATTCAATCAAAGTCCAAAGACACACATTAAAAAAAATAAAAAAAAAACAAAAAAAAAATAAAAAGTCAAATTACAACAGCAATTCTTAGCTTTAACACTTAAGGTAAAGATGGCAGGATCACGTACTCACAACGCTGCTTCTGTCAAGCACGTGTGCTCACAGGATTCAAAGGTCCCATCATCAGGAGTGGAACAACTTCATTAAACCTCGTCTGACCTGAAACAAGATGAAAAAGACAACATTACATACAAAAGCTCTCAAATAAAGATAAAGTAAATACAATAAAACTACTACTTGTTCTGGCTGTCGTGGTCCACAGGTTCTCTTCTGCTTCCTTTTCCCCCCCCTTGGTTGGCAGCATTCCTGGACCTCCTCCTCACAGCCGGTTCTTTGGTCATGGGCTCAAACTAAAAAAAAAAAAAAAAAAAAAAAAAACCGCCTTAAGGTCATCATTCAAAGTTCCTGTGGCCTAAGAGGAGTTGGAGAGGGGAAAAAAAAAAAAAAAAAAAAAAAAAGC